TTGTTGTGGCCAAAGTGCAGGACCCTGCAATACTCTCTACCACAGACAGATTTGTATAATGAAGTTACGGTGGATTTACTCCAATGTCTCCACCAGAGGAATATGACTTACCAGGGCAGCTGAGCTAACCATAAGCTAATGGTGAAAAATGGAGCCTGACTTTTTAACTCTTATTCATGTGAATAGACCCCACTTTATCAAAGCCCCCAACGCAAGGGCTTAAGTGTTTTGCCAAATAAAAAGCTGAATTTCAAACATTTAGCATGTGGTAAAAGCTTTGCTGATGTGGGTCCTGAGTTTGAGGTGCCTGAGTAAAGGTAGGATGACCCACATGCATAAAGGTTGCAAGTAAGTGCAAGCATTTAAAATATGATCCCCTAATGTGTCCCCTTCTGCTAGATGTCTCTCTGTCTTTGCCATGACAGAGGCAGGAGAAAGTAACATGTGCCCTCTCTCTCCCACCTAGGTCATAAAGCGATATGATCTTAAATGATCCATGAAACTTGGTTTGTTTTATTATGTTGGGCTGAAAATAAGAAGAGCTGAAGCAGGGCACACATTCACATCTGTTGGCCCTCTGAAGAGAGGTAAGGGGAAAAAGGAGCTGGGGGACAACAGCAGGACAGAATATTGCACATCTAGATCTTCTAAATCTGTCAGCATCTTCTTCCTGAACACCTAATTCAGGCCATAGGCTCTTTTTACACAGGCAGTTATTTCCAGTCCGGTTTTGCAATAAGTCTGTCATGATAAAAGAACAACTTGTCAGTCCTTTAAAAAGTCAGTGATTTCAGTGGAAGACACAGTCTATGTCTACGAAGACAGACCGTGCAGCTCTGATGAGCGTCATGTAAGGACAGACAGAAAAATCTATTTCACATTACCCATTCTATGCCTTGTATATGCAAACTTTTTAGTACAGCTCATGTGTTTCATAATCCTAAACACGGGTTTACTTTGGTATTATTTTACAAGCTCCGTCCTTTGCTAAGGTTCAAGAGTCACGTCACACTGTCCCTGAAACCCATCAATGCCTTGACCTTGATTTTGGTGCTGGTAAGTTTTGAATATTCCATCAAAGACAGACACAAGAACCTATATTAAAGTCACTTAAATCCTCTGCATCAACTATATCAAGATAATTATGGTCTGAATTAGTCAGCTGGTGCCATGTATAATGAATTCATTATACATGAATGCAATACATGCTATTTCTGTGCTGGACTGTTTGCTGGTTGTGAGTTGTAGTGCAGTATAAGTAACAACTATTGAATTTCTCTTTGGGTCTCAGCTGCAGACTTTAAAATTGAAAAGAAGAATAAATTAACCTAGAAATAACAATTCTAAGACATAAGAACCTCATTTCATTGAGCCAGCATCAGGACATTTTTATAGTTATCCAGGAGCATGAGAACTGAGCGTGCAGGGCCTGTGCTTGGAGTTTCATCAAAGTCATAATCATTTCCAGTGTGAAATGCAAGATGGATGATGTTGTCTGTTGTAATGTAGGTTGCTTCTTTCCTTCACAACCAATTGTAAACTCTCCCATTTATGAATAGGTTTTAAATCACCAGATTCAGTTGTTCAAGGAGTTGATCTTTTACTTTCAGTGCTTTGATTTCATCACACTGGCTGTGTTTTCCTGATAGCAACAGTTGCGCTTTTTCAAATCGCTGACTGGTGAGGGTGCAAAATAGCTGCTGTTAAGTTTCATTGGAAGCACATGGCTGTGCAGGGATGACTTTGGATCTGCTAGACACCCACAGATGTCAACAGCTATCACTTTGAGACTAACTCTAGCATATAATGCCAGAAAAAGCCATCCCTGCCTCATTTGGCTGAACATCAGGTTGCTATAAGAAGGACCTTGCAACATGTATTGAAGTAATGAATTTAAAGGAGATATCCAGTACTTTAACTAATGAGGGACTATATGTTGTTAAGACAACTCAGATTCCATGTAGGCTTGTGGCTGATTGGTAACAATCTTAGGAAGCTTCCAAGGCTTAAAAGTGGAGATAAGATAGGTTTTAGTCAATTCTACAGCTTCAGTGCAGGGAACTAGGCGTATCTGTCCCAGTAAGAAGACATTCAATCTGTGATACTGTAGACTTATTGGAAACCTCATCATTGCAGTGTTGGCACATTCAAACCTCACTGAAGCCAACGGCTCCAAACAGCTCTTGTGTAACAGGATGCTCTCAAAGTGGATGAAGATTTGGCCGGCTTTCACTGAAAATACAGGCTATCCTACAAGCACAAACACCCAGAGTGAACAATGAACACACAGTTGTTCTAACACTAAAGAACAAAGCCAAAATGAGAGGTAAAGTAATGGACAGACTGAGACACTGACCTGGGCAGCAGCCCCTTCTGGGGTCTTTGGGCTGGTCTGCCAGCATTATCTCATCCTTTTCAGGATTCTCTATCAGCATGGCTGTGAAGGGGGTAACAATATGATGGTCAAGAGACATCTGTAGGATGGATTTGGTGATGTTCCTCTTCAAAGCTGCAGTGGGGGCTGTGTTTCTGGGTGGAGAACAAAACAGAAGGCATGGTTAGCAGCTCTACAGGGCAGCTGCCACAACAATGCCTCCACAGAGTGGTCATAGAACCAAACTGGTAGGTGTTGCAAGAAGGAAAGGCTGAGGGCCTGCATGAATGCACTCTCCATAAAACTATTCTTGGCTTCTGTGGACTTTGACCTGGACTCAAAGAAGCCCAGTCCTTCTCCTGATCTCAGCAGGAGACCTCTTTCTGCCTCAGAGGGGATTCATCCTGAACTCCTCCATAGCTTTTAGCCAGGCTCTGTAAGGCAAGTTTCCCATTCATCTCATTCACTCAGCCCCACAGCCAAGTCTGTTTGACCCTTATTCCTCTGATTAACTCCTCCCAAACTCTATTCCTTGATACTTGTGAGTGCTAAAAATAGGAAGATTGTGACTACAGATATCTGTCAGCATACTACCTTTATTTTGATTTGTTTACCTTACCCATTTGAAACCCTGTGAGCAGCCTCATGGCTGTAGTCTCAGAGAGGACCAGATTGCTCTCAAGCTTCACTTCCCTCCCATCACAGACCACAGTTCTCCTTACCTCTCTGCCAGCATCTGGTTGACAGTCAGATAGGCCCACAGCTTCCTAGTGAATTCGGGATCTGCATATTTGTCTTTCTTCATGAAGCCATCCAGTTCTTCAACATCTCGCAGGGTTTCCATGACGAGCTCCGCATTTGCCTATGCAATCAAGGAGAGATAAAGATAATGGAGGGTGAGCCAGGAGCATGCAGTGGCTTTGGGTTCCTCTCTTGTCATGACTGGCATTAAGGACCCATTATGGCTCTGCCTATGGTCACTTCTAGATCAGAAAGTCCCATCACTGTTGACTTGACTGCCATGGGAAGGGGAGCTGTAGCAAGAGGATCTTCTGTTAAAGACACTTTTAGTGGATTAAAATAGGTAAAGGAGCTGTCAGCAGTAGCCAAAGAGTGTGCTACCACATGCCAAAAGAAGAGGCTTTTAACATAGCTCTGCTGTCCTCTCCTCAGGCTTTTTTACATCCAACTCCTACTGAGGAACAGGAACAAAATTCTACTTTCTCCCACAGACCCTTGGACTGCACTGTGTTTTAGCAGGAAAGAATGTTGAACAGGTTTGTTTTTCTAGTAACTAACACATGGCAACTCCTAAGCCCTGTAAGAGTGTGGATATTTTGGTTCCTCCTCAGACAGAAGGATCTGGATGTAGTATTCCTACCCCATTCCACTCCACCTGGAAGAGAAGCCCTGAAACATGGGGAAAATCTCATCACACATGCCACAAGACAGAGCATAAAAGGACAGTGCTAGGACTAGGCACACTGTAGACCCACGTGCTTGAACTCCCCAACAGTTCAGCCATGAAAAGAACTACCTTACAGGATGTCCCCTGCACCTTCACAAAGCATGGAGGAGGACTCCACAGCCTTAGTCTGGTCTGCAATTGAATTTTGTATGGTACGTTAATTAGAAGGGAGTTCCTCTGGCAGGCAGGCTGCAGGTACTGACTATTCGTGGCTGTACTTGGAAGTTATTGTAAAACATTGCTGTACAGCACTCCCAAAGAGTTTCCCCACTCTCCCTCCTGGAACCCAAGAGGACAAAACACTCTGTTGGCAATAACCTCCACTCGTACACACGAGTGAGTGAACCAGCCCAAACCCCAGAAGCAGGTAGCCTCAGGAGACCCTCACTCACTGCTGTTGCTGTGACGATGCTTTCCAAGTGCTGCAGGTTTTCCGTGTCGACCTTCCCAGCCACTACTATCTCTGAGCCACCAAAGTAGTTGTGGAAGCTGCTCTGGGTGACATCTGACACTGACTCCTGGGGGTAGTTGAACTGAATCTTCCTCAAGAGTGGGGTGGAGACCTGGTTGTAGAAATTCTGAGATGGAAGGAGACAGAGAAGTGAGTCTGTTGTACCTGAAGCAATCCTCCCACATGCTGCACTCATACTGAAAGGACAGCAGGTGACAAAACCTGGAGCCCTAATGGGTGAGTGGGACTTTCCTTGTCCCGAAGAATGCAGACTCCTTTATACTTAGCACACTTCTAAGAAAGTACAGCAAGAAGCTCTAGCCCAAGTCACAGAATCACAGAATCACAGAATCACTAGGTTGGAAAGGACCTTCAAGATCATCAAGTCCAACCATTAATCCAGTGCCACCATGTCCCCTAAACCATGTCCTGAAGCGCCATATCCACGCGTTTTTTGAACAATTCCAGAGATGGTGACTCCACCACCTCCCTGGGCAGCCTGTGCCAATGCCTGACCACCCTCTCAGTGAAGAAATTTTTCCTAATATCCAATCTAAACCTCCCCTGGCGCAACTTGAGGGAATTTCCTCTTGTCCTATCGCTAGTTACTTGGGAGAAGAGACCAACACCCTCGTCACCACAACCCCCTTTCAGGTAGTTGTAGAAAGCGATAAGGTCTCCTCTCAGCCTCCTCTTCTCCAGACTAAACAACCCCAGTTCCCTCAGCCGCTCCTCATAAGACTTGTGCTCATAAGTCTTGTGGAAGTCAAAGGATGGTCAGAAGCCCATGGGTTGTGTTCTTCCTAGACCTAAAAGGCTTGAACAGTTATATATGGTCCTGAATCTATTATCAGGTTGGTCAGCTCTTGGCTACTTTACTACACAGCTGCTTCCCACCTAATTCTTGCCAAAACCTGGACCTATATCTATCTCACTTGTATTTGCTTCTGTGCTGTAGCCCGTCTGCCCTTTTCTGACCCTGTTGCACCTGGCTGGTGTGAACTGGGATGTGTGCACAGCTGGATTTAGCACATGGGACCAGAGAGGGGAAACAGGTGCTATGGGGGGAGGCTGTCTCATAACGAGGGGCTGCACTCTCAGAGCTGCTCTGTTTGGCAGAACACCATGTAGCGTGACCTGGCACACCTGTGTGTGTCCTATCACACTTCTGTTTGGAAAGAAGTATGAGAAACCTACATAGGTGATGAAACCAGTGAATAGAAACAGAATAAGGATGTAACAGTTTGTTCATCAGCAATTGCTGCTCATGGATTTGGAGCCATAGCCTCCTAGAACTGAACTTTTTTTTACACTGGCAAACTTTGGATTAACATTTAGCATTTATATCTAGGCCTTTTGTAAGTGCTGAAGTGGTCTGAGGTAAAATCCAGGCCTTAATTTTAATTTAGAAAATCTTTTTTATGGTTTGGACTGTTTTATAGAATATCAATCCTACACAGAGCAGTAAAGTATGTATTATAGATGCTACAAAAATTGTAACTAAGAGCACTTAAGCTAATGCATGATTGTCATCTTGCAGGTCTCTCCAGAAGAAACAATGCTTTTTGTGACTCTCCTTAGGCACCTACAGTAACTCTACTCTTGCTAGTGGAGTTACACGTCTCCACAGCTGCGAACAGAACTGGACCCTCAGTTTCAGAGGCAATGGGCCAGAAACGCACCTTCATTTGGGCAGAAGTCTCCTGATTTCCAAAAATTCTCTGGGCCATGCCACGGTTGTCAGTTGCGATTCTCTGCAGGAAATCGTAATCTACATCAAACCCAATCCCGAGACAGAAGAGAGAGAATTCATCTTTTATGCTCTGCTTCACGTTCTTCTGGATCGTTGTCAGCTTTAGCTCACCTTTGAGACACACAAAGGGTGACATCCATCTGAGCCATGGAGGAAGTCTCCATCAAGGTAAGCACATTTATACTCTTCCAGTGGTTTTGATTCTCTCTTAATATAAAGGGAGTCTAGACAACTAGCTCAGATGCCCAATCGCCATTCTGGAGTGCCTACAGTGACATTTGAGCTTTTTCTGGATGGAGATTAACAAATTGGTTCCACTGAAGGAAATTCCTTTGAACTCTTTTTTGATATCTGACGCATATTCTTTCTATATCCAGGGCTCTTACTAACTTCCTGAGGAGTTTGTAATTGTAACACAGCTAGACTTCTCCCAGAATTACTGCTTCAAGCTCTCTGCAGGCTAAGACATCTCCACAGAGCTTTACTTTGTTTCTTGTGCTTAAGATGTTCTCTGCCACCGTTGGGACTGACATTTTTGCAAACTTATTTTTAATGGCAGCGTATTCTGAGCTGGCAGCTTGCAGTAAGGAATTGCTTTTGACCTATGTCAAATGCAATTCAAATTAATTTGCTTTCTACTTTATTTTCCTGATTTTAATGTTACACTTGGGACTGCGTAGATCTGTGGGCTAAGGTCACTGGAAGAGGAAATTTTTTTGTGAATGCCTCTTCTACAGGATTTGTGCATCTCTGTAATTGCAAGAAGTACATAACTTGCATTAATGTAGTCTGCTCATCTTTTGAAAGCTTCTGTGCAAAACCCCATGGCACCTATAGCACTTGGCAAAAGCGCAGCACAGGCATTGGAAGAACAGGGAACAGAATTATTTTAATTTACTGTCTAAGTTTCTATGTGTTGCACGATTTTCTCAGGCTAATCCCACTGGCCTTTCTTCTCACCTGAAGCTGGATCCTTACCTACTGTTGGATCTCCATCAGACACCAGTACGATCATGGAGACTGAGTTAGGGTCCAACATGCCTAAGTTTTGGGCTTCATTCAGGATGAATGTGGCTCGGAGAAGAGCTTCATTGATATTTGTGCCTGTCAAAGACACAATGAAGAAAACAAGTTTGACGATTGTTGAATCTCTTGTTGAATCCAGATCAATTCTGAGATCTTAGTGGAATTAGTCAACATGGACAAAATCAAAGATCAGGGCAGCAAAACCCCTTCTTTGTGATGCTTATGGTACATCTGCTAGCACTCTGGTTCCCTAAAGAGATAGAAGCTGAAAGGTGTTGCATGTAGGTCATTGTGTTAAACAGACCTTCTCTATTTTCCTTACATATAGTTATACTATTTACTGAAATAATCAGAATTAGTTAGGATGTACATCTCTGTAAGTAGAAATAGTCTCTTATAATCCATCTAAATTTGTTCATCAGCATGTTACTTTTTTCTTACCATGATGTTGAAATATATTAATACATATTTATACCATAAAATCACAGAATAGTTTGGGTTGGAAGGGACCTTTAAAGGTTGTCTAGTCCAACCCCCCTGCAATGAGCAGGGACACCTTCAAATAGATCAGGTTGCTCAGAGCCCCGTCCAACCTGACCTGGGATGTTTCCAAGGATGGGGCATCCACCACCTCTCTGGGCAACCTGTGCCGGTGTTTCACCACCCTCATTGTGAAAATTTCTTCCTTAGATCTAGTTGAAATCTGCCCTTTTTTAGTTTAAAACCGTTACCCCTTGTCCTATTGCAACAGGCCCTGCTAAAAAGTCTGTCCCCATCTTTCTTGTAAGCCCCCTTTAAGCCCTGGCAGCTGCAGTAAGGTCTCCCGGAGCCTTCTCTTCTCCAGGCTGAACAGCCCCAACTTTCTCAGCCTTTCTTCATAGGAGAGGTGTTCCGTTGTTCTGATAATTTTTGTGGCCCAATGAATTTATGCACATCTGTATATACACACACATAGGTGTTTTGCACTAAGTTCCATTAAGACACCAGATATTAATACCCTTTTTCATCCCAGGCTGTCACCTCCACCTTGCCCCGCCGCTAATTCCAGTGGGAACATTTGTGGTGTTGGGAATTATTTGCTGTGGGGAGAAATAGTGGATTTGTAGGCAGATGATTGAATGAGAGAAGAAAATTTCATTGTTGCTATCAGCCTGTTCCTGGGACATCTTGATTGTAAAAGAAGAAGTGTATGTTTACGGACCCTGTCTAAAGGTTTGGCTTGTGGCACAGAAGGGACTGAGTAAGAAATTCCTATGAGAAGAACAGGAGTAGGAAGGCTGAGCAGTCAGAAAACAGGTATTTTGTTTGTCAAGAAAGGAAAACATGAGTGGCTCCAGAGACAGGATAATAAAATGCTGCATTGCAAACTGGCTTTGCTGAATGGGAGCAGGTCTCTTAGCTTGTCTATCAGTTCTTTTGGAGCAACAAAGCCAGGCTTATGAGGCATTCATATACCCAACATGGGTTCCCATTCCCAGCACAGTGATGATCTCGGACAAGTCTATAACTTCGTGTTGATCCTACCTTATGTGTTGCCAATGCAAGTTTCTGGCAATGAAGATGTCACAGCACCAGAAGGCTCTGATGTTGCGTAGAGCCTTGACATGCTATTGGCATACAAATAACTGAACAACTAAACCGGGATTGCACTTCAGAGAGCAATAGATTAAAATGATTGTGAGGCCTTTCTGTACAAGTAGCTCAAGCAATAACAAATGAAGCATCCAAAGTGCTGTAAGGCTGAAAAAGGCAAATGTTCTTGTTTATCAGATAGGGAATGAAGGCAAAAAAATGAAGAACAGTTTGCCCACGGTGGCATTGACCATGATGTAGTCTACTATTTACAGCCAGTGGACACCCTGGAGTTGGGCTGCTTATGATCTGCTTTAGAAAGGTATGAGATGGCCTTGGTCTTTCAAAGATATTTGGGATCTGTGAGGCTGGAGGTAGGACCTATAGATTAAAGACATCTGTTCTATGGTCTGTGTTCTATCTGTTGGCCTATGTTCTACCTATTGTAGCTTATTCAGCAGAAGGAAATGCTATTCCATCCCTTAACACAATAAACTGGAATCTTTGCTCTCCTTTAGCCACAGGGCGTGCTTTTTTCATCTTGGGAATCAGATTTTTTGTTAGCAATACTCTGCCAATCTGAAGGTTGTCTGAGATACCATTCCTGTGATATCTAACTCCCATGAGCACCTTGCAATCAAAACCTCATACCCCCATTGGGATGGATTGTCTGGATGTACTTCTTAGCATCTTCAACCTGCGCTGGGGTGGCTGAGACTAGATTATCTCTCCAGCATCGGACATTGTGGTTGAAGTCGATAAGGGAGAACTGATCAGCAGCACGGAGCTCACTCAATATTGCCTTCATGGCCTCGATGGTCTGAGAAGAAGAAATTTAAGAGAAGATGAGTTTATGCTTCCTATTGCTGAAAGCATCTTCCTAACTTGTGACTACAAGCGGACAGATGCCTTTGATGAATAAGAACATGAGCACTGGAACCCAAAATAGCATCTGCTTTCCAGATCTCTCTTTTTTTGCACTTCTTGCATAGTTCAACAAAGTTGAACTTTTCTCCAAAGAAACATGGAAAAAATGCAATTAGCAAGAACAAACCCATGTGCCTCAACCCATCCTTGCTTAACTCCTGCTAACACAGAGTGAGGTGAGAGAGAGAAGCCGTTTGTAAGACACTGTGGTTCAGGAGAGTGGAATTGCTCATATCAGCTCAGGAGGCTTAGCTCTGTCTGCAATGCTGTCACTTCAGGCTGAGTAACATCTGTTTGAAGATGTGTCATTTAAACAAGCAACAATTAGCCTGTATCCCAGTTTTGCAGCACTGATTTCCCCAAGGAAGTAATCTGCCAAGCCTTAGTATTGTGCTCCAAAACAAATTCAAATATACCTAGATCATTCCCAACTAATGTTTGGCTATCCAGTTCTTAAAAAAACCTTCAGCAACACATGATATACAATTTCCTGAACTACCCTCTCAGCACTACAAATTTTTTCCTGACATCTGATATAAATATCTCTTGCTGTAAATCCATCTGATTCCATCTTATTCTACCCTGGGTGGGCATGAATTTCAGTTGATGAGTTTCCCTTTTCGAACAACTGTTTGCATATTTGGAGGCTGGTTATGTCTCTCCAAGTCTTTTCTTTTGCAGACTAAAACATCTTTTTTTTTTTTTTTTAATTTTTCCCCCCCTATGGGTTATGTTGTCTAAACAATTCTCACTGCTCTTCAGTGGGCTGTCAACAATTTGTCCACAACTTTCTGAAAGCAGGTGTGTAGTATCCCCACTGAGACTTCCCCAGGGTTCAATTGAGGAGATTAGAGAAAAACAGGGTCAGAGCCTTTGCAAAATGTTTTGTGATCTGTCAACTAAAATTTTAATTTAGAGCTAAAGTCAGTATTCTGATGGCATAACCTCTTCCTTACAGCATGGAAGAAGCATTACAAATACAGAGTAAAATCATGAAGTCTTTGATTCACCAAATATTCTCTAAATTCAGTGAGACTTTTGATGGAGTAAAGAGTAAGGAACTAAGCTAAGCTGGTAATTTTGAGTGCCAGTCTGCTACAGAATTGCATGGTAAGGCACATGGGAAAAGTTGGCAGGAGGTTTCTTTTGCAATAGAGGTCAAACACTTACTTGTTTCATTTTCAGTCCCCACATCGAGCCACTGACGTCTATAACAAATAAAATGTTTTTGGGCAGAGGATCAAGATTTTCCGGAGCAAAGAAGTGAATAAAATAGCCATTAAAAATCTGCAAAATAAAGTAAAAAAATTCACAATTAAGTAAGCTATAGTAAAAATGTCAGAAAATTCAAGACAATAACAGAGCAGAAAATGTTATTTTTCTTTGTGGGCCAAATCTAACTTTCAGCTCTGCACATCTCTGTATTTGTAGCGTTACACCATTTATACTCCATATTTTTTTTCTTTTTATCAAGGAAAGCAAAGCCTGGTTCTCAGACAACCGCCATGGCTAGCGTGGGGAGGAATGAAAAACATTTTTAAAACGTCTGTTCTGTCTGTACTAATTCAACCCCACAACTCTGCTTCATGTTAGCATAAAAATAGTGATGTTCTGGTTGTCTCCTTGTGATATATTGGTACAACTTCCAATGACTCTGTCCTCTGATTCAACATTAAATCACCAGAGTACTGCTAGGTATAAAAGACATTGGCTTTTGAACAAGACAGGAATCTGCTCCTGACTATATGTAGGACCACGTCTTAGTCATAAATTAGAGTAAATCCATTCTGCCCACTTAAAATCTCTCTGTTCTTTTGATTGGATAAAGAGCTCTTTCTCCTGCCTATTCTTCTGAACGATGAAGTTTATTTAGCATAGTTTGCTTAATGACAGCAATTCTGGTATTCACAGATCTCTCGTTCCAGTTAACCAGCAACACTCACTTCCAGTTCTCCACCTGTGGTTTCTCTGTTCACATCATATTGCACCACAAAATTTCCATCTACTGCTGTGGATGAGCACGTGGGGCATTTTCGTTGTTGAGCCATCGTTGGCTTGAAAGAAACATGAGCCTTGAAATGAGAAGTGATCATCAGTCAATCAGATGTTGTGTGAAAGGTGGATCAAGGAAACAAAAAGAATTCGTCTTTTCATGAAATACCTTATTTCAATGAACACTTTTCTTCTTTCTTTATTTGTACTCTTAGTTTAAGTGGAAAATGGACATTGTCACTTCAAAAGGAAAAGAACACTAAGGTTTGCCTGGATATGCTGATTCAATAGGAGGAACTGTGACACAAATAAGATGACCCATCTACAGCATCAAATATTTCAGTTAGACCTGTGCAAACCATTTCTAGTAAGTAATATGTTGGCTTATTTAACATTTTCGTAGTTGAAACTATCCATAATTTTAGTTACTTTTAAAAATAGCTTTTTAATTTTTTCCTGAACAAACCAGAGCTTGTGATTTGTCTATAAAGTGAGTACTAGGAATCATTTTCCTTAGTCACATGATTGGTTATGCAGACTTTACGGCATTTTTTCTCTGCTTTGAATGGGTAACTTGAAATTACCTGAGAAGATAAAACATAATATATATAGCCACACATTACTTCTGAAATAATTTGCTAAACTAGGAATGTGGGTGAATGAGACATAAAGTCGAGCCTGGATATTAAGAAACAATACTGCTCGATATATTATTATAGTAGTATAGATGGGCTTTTCCAGCCTGATTCACATATCCTGTATTAAATGTCTATGTAAGAGCAAGAAGAGCTGTACATTCCCAGAGTCACTGCTTGAAGTTTCTTGAGAAAAACTTCTCTGCTGTTGGAGTTATGCTGGAGAAAACTATGATAAGAATGTCAAGGAAAAGAGCCACTCTAAAATAAGTCCCTATGCAGATGTTCCCAGTTGAAACTGAGACTGTGGAGTTATTCCAGAATGGTTATTTCACTTGATATCCACCACCTAACTTTTTCACATCCAGCAATCCCAGTGCACTGCCCTTCCAGAATTACAAATGAAAAGCTTTGCACAAAGATGGGTGGACTACACACTATTTCTGTACTGTTGCCACCGAGCATCTTGTATATACAGTTAGGTAGCAATAAGGAAGATACTGTATTTTTTGCCATATTTTTGCATGCTTCCAGCAGGTATGAAAAAGTGCCATGACCGTGTAGGAACAAGTGTTGTGAAAACTGAAGTTTTCATGCTATTTCCAGTCTGTGACTATTACCTTTTTCTCCCCCTTGGAGATGGTGGTGATTCCATCGAAATGATCTCCGAGTGAATTAGGAACATGCACGTAGCGAAGTCCCTGCGGCTCAATAATGCGGACATCCACCTAAAGGCAGGAAGGGAGGACATTAGTATGAAGCAGAGCCAGTGTTGTATCAGGATCTCATGAACCCTCCATAGGCAAACTCCAACTGGGGGTTGGGATGCTCTTGAGAGTGCTCCTGTAGGGCTAGTCTCATTCACGGTGGGGATCGATGCAATGCTGAAAATAGACCACAATAGAAAGACAAAAAAAGTGCCCAAAGAATAGAAAGAGTTTGGTGGAAATGCTCGTTCTTCCTCTCTCTCCCACCCTATGGGGCAAGTGGTAGGACACGAGTCAAGGGTGATACCATTGTTTATGCTGAAAGCACGAAAGAAGCATGAAGTGACTGCGTAAGTGTTGCTTTGGGTTAGAAGGCCAGGAGAAACACTTGGTGATGAGTTCTGTCCCTCTCTACTGATGCTATTGACAGGACAGAGAGTATTTTTGCTTTTGTTTGGATGGCCAAGGTGATTTGGAAAATAAAGGTTTTATCCTGTCAGCCTGAGATAAGGGCTTTTTCTGGTTGTGTTTCTGAATAGTTAGTAAGGCTACTAGGAGGCAGGACATGGCGTCCTTTTCAGTAGGACTAACTGAGGCCTTTGGACAGCTTGAAGCAGATCACAGACTGCACCGAGGAAATGTGATTAGTAAACTTTCATATACAGCTTATGCTGAAGCCATGGAAAGCTGAAGAAGGAGACATTTATGAAACAGGAACATAAGAGTGGCTGGATGGAAATGTCCATCTACCCCTGTATCCTGTGTCTTGAAACAAGGTTGTAAAACAAGTATAAGGTTTCAACGTGTGTCACTAATCAACTGTAAGTTTTGCAAATTTCTTAACGTATGGAAGGTTATTGATTACCTATTAGTTTAACTTTAGTATAGAATTCTTTAGCCTAATAACTATGTGATTATGTTTAACGGCCTACTCTCATAGTCCTTAGGCTGTATTAGCCTCAATGCTAACGTTGTAACTACGTGTAAACGGCTAATCACGAGGAAAGCAGGCCTCATGAAAATTAAAACACAGAAGAGTTAAGAGCAAGGACTGAGAGATTAAAGAGAACAGAGAAAATATCTTAACCTTGAGCATAGAGACAAACCGGCAGGAATGCTCTAACAAGGATGATAAGAAGGAACCGCTTGGCTGGACAACAGAAGGGGCAAACATCCAAGGAGAAGAAATTTTCCTCAAGAGACCTGTGACCATAAAAGGGAAAAAGGAGGAGGGGGCTAACTCCCCAAACGACCACCGACGACCACCTGAGACCCCCGCGCATGTGTAGTGTAGTTTTGCAACGCCAGCATTATGTAAATGTAATAGATAAGCAAGGAGGCGGTGATTTCTCGGAAAATGTGTGAATATTCATGTCTTTAAGGCATATAAATGATGAACTTTTGTTTCAGTGCACGCATGTTAGGAGGAGATATCCCCCATGCGTCCAGCGCTGCAATAAAGATGTCTGCTTAATAGCACTTTGATGTTATTGAGTTTAAATTTCTTAAGTTTGGATTTCTTTGAATCAGCCGGTGGATGACAGAGGACACCTTTGGATGAGTGCAAGAAAGAGGGTAAGAGTAAGACAAATCATCTTCTGGCAGCCAGTTGTGGAGCAACTGTCATTCAGAGAACATCTGCTGTCACAGGACACTATCTCATGAAGTTAGGACTATTGTGAAAAGCACCGTTCCAAATAAATAGCAAATATTGTTTGTTTTCCTTCAGTCAAGGCAAGTTTACACAAGGGTATATATAGACCAAAGCTTGTTTGCCCAAGTGGTTCTGACATGAGTCAGTCGTCATTCAGGAGATGCCCAACTGAGTACAACAGGAGGCCGGACACATTTGCTCCTCACTCATGTAGCTACATAGCTCCTGGCTTGAAGTGTCTCATTCTGGTCTGCACAGACCTTGAGGTTATTTGTACTGAGCCCATGTAAAAGGAAGGAGCTGTAGATGAAGTGTCCTGCTGTGGGGCTCATAGGAACCTTGGCTGCTTTCTCAGTAAGGATTCACCTGTGGGGTGCTGCCTACACACACCAGCTCTATACTTTACCTCCATGTGCTTTGCCAAGCGTCCTGGCTTCACAGAGATGACGTGCTCATAGGAGCTCAGTTTCCTTCGAATCATTTCATGGTAGTGAAGTTCAAACTGGATCCTTGTTCCTGGGGGCACATTCACTTCAGTTTTGAAGTTTTCCATATCCAAGGCATTGCTCCTGAAAAGTCAGCTGTGGGGTTATTTTGAGAAAATACAAGGAGGAAGAGAGATTCTTTGCATTTTGAGTTTAGAGTTAGGCATTTGCTGGGTCTGATTCCAACTGTGGCCTGTTTCGGGGACCTGCAGTTGTCTGTTAGAATAACACGTTTTATCAAGCTGAAAGCAGAAACACAAGTCCTTGACAATTAAATATCAGAGCTGCTGTAAGCAAGCAACACATTTTCCTTCCCAGGGTTCATCTATATCCTCCTGAGATGGGTCACCTCAGTTCTCCTATGAATAAGTTCAGTACAACACCTATATGCAAACATCTTTGTACCTTACTATTCCAGCAGCTTTGCCTTTGGCTTTTGCTTGAGAGTACATTTTTCTGGCTTCAGATTTTTCCCGGATTTTGCTGGTAAATGTTATACCATTGACATCCCTAGGAGAGAGAAACACAGTCAGTTTGTAAAAGAAACAACTTTACAATCGATGGCTGTTTCTTCACATTAGAAAAACATCAGTGAAATCTAAGCTGGTGGGAAATAAAATAATAATGCTGTTGTTTATCCCCAAAGTAATGAAGTCTGGTTTCCAGTAGATCTATATCTTTTTCCCTACCTGTTTTTTCATTTCAAGTAGCCAGCACTCTTGTACTCTGAGGAGGATCTGCTGTCCCCCACCTCCTTCATACTTTCCCTATTCCTTGGGCAGGGCAGGCAGTTACTCATGTCATGGCTGTTTTGGAACATGGACCAGGACATGTCTCCTGACCAGCAAGGTGGCTGCTGCCTCTCTCAATGGATATTGAAGCAGGCTGGTTTCTTTCTGTTCAGTGAGGGCTCCAATTTGGGTCTCTCTTATCTCCTGAGACATGAGCCAGCAGTGTGCCCAGGTGGCCAAGAAGGCCGACAGTATCCTGGCTTGTATCAGGAATAGTGTGGCCAGCAGCAGCAGGGAAATGATCGTGTCCCTCTACTCGGCACTGGTGGGGCCGCATCTCAAATAGCGTATTCAGTTTGGGACCCCTCGCTACAAAAGGGACATTGGGATTGTTTAGTCTGGAGAAGAGGAGGCTGAGGGCAGACCTTATAGCTCTCTACAGCTACCTGAAAGGGAGTTGTAGTGGGGTGGATGTTGGTCTCTTCTCCCAAGTAACTAGCGATAAGATGAAAGGAAGCAGCCTTAAGTTGTGGCAGGGGAGGTTTAGATTGGATATTAGGAAAAATTTCTTTACTGAAAGAGTGGTCAAACATTAGAACAGGCTGCCCAGGGAGGTGGTGGAGTCACCATCACTGGAGGTGTTCAAAAAACATGTAGATGTGGCATTTGGGGACATGGTTTAGTGGGCATGGTGGTGTTGGGTTGATGGTTGGACCTGATGATCTTATAGGTCTTTTCCTTAATTCTATGATTCTATTCTATGATTCCTTTGATCTGGTGCCAACTTGCACAAGACAGGTAGGAGCTCAGTCTATTTGAGAGTTCTGTTCTTTTGTCAAATTTTGTCAACATTGGCCAATGGCCCAATAATTGCTGGAGAGGAATAGATGGACAGACAGGAAGTATGATGACATGAACCTTTTTTCTTTGAGAAAGCCTGCTAAAATTACACTGAACCTGGAAAATAGTAAGATGTGTTTTGCTTTTACAAATACCTCCCTCCCACCACATTCTGCCACCACATTAAACCTGACAGAGCACAAGGCTGATACCTGCCCACTACTTACATAGTAAAGTTGTCAATAAAAGCTCCTTTGGGGACTTGTACATCAAACACTATGTGCTGGGACCGTTTTGCGTTATTCACCATTTTGGCTTGGATCATTGTGTTGGCCAACCGTGATGTTATAGTGGATTGAACTTTGTAGCTGTAAAGACCTATCTTGTCATCGTCTTCCACCTGTAATTGACAAAATTACTCTATAAAGTTAGGACACAGCTAGAAAATGTGCCTTAGAGGGCAATATCAACCCTCAATTTTTAGTCTCAGTGCCTTTTTTGCAACTGCTGTTCATGGCAGCCAGATGGGACATGAGCTCAAGTTCAAGACACCTCCGTATGTTACCTGGCAATCGTGGCAGGACACTCATGTGAATATAGCTCATTATAACAGTTCAGGGAATTTATTAAGCTGGAATTTTTCCTTGCTTTTGACCATGCAGCCAGTCCTTGGAATGACTCTATTGGTGCAATCCAGCAAAGAAGGGTACATAGTAATCCTCAGCATCATATACTGAGGAGGATAAAGCTTACAGTTTCAATAAAAGTCCTAAATAAGAGACCTGAAGCATTGGTTACCAACCTAGTGTTGTAAATGTTTAAACCATGCAGTGGGAGAACAATATTGAACTGGTATATGAAGGTATTGTCTTTGTCTAATCACTTTTGATGCTATTTCTTCATATTTACCATACCCTTCTCCCTCCAGGAGCAGGTGTATAAACAGCATTGTGCAAACAGTGCTCTGTTTAAAGAAAATAGGTTAATAACCAACTGGCAGTAAAAACAAGGAACTGAACAAACAACAGAATTGATTTCCAAAAAATGGTTAACTAGAGAATCACTTTGTTCGGTATTAGTTTCCATAGAGGAAGAAAAAAAAACTCACCAGATCTCCAACATACCCCCAGTCAGATGTGCTTCGCTGGAAAAGAAAAATATGGAGAATGTATTTCAGCAAAGCTAAGAACACAGATTGAGGCTGTTTCAAGACAGGGATCAGATAGTGGTAACATCGAAAATCTGCTTTCCAAGATGATCACAGTTGATTTGAGTTCTCAGACTTAGTGTGCATATTGCTTTTGTCTTATTTTATGTATTTGTACATGGGATGTTGGAGCATGTGATCTCCCAGCTGTGACTTGGAGGCTATCAAAACCAGAAGGACAGGTCTCTTCCTCTCTTTCATTTTTTATAGAAAATATTCTCTTCTAGAACAAAAACAATCTTCCTGAAAGCAAAACATGCTGGCAAAAAGTCATACTTAGAAATCCTAGCTTTTAACACAAAAATTACCTTTTTGTGTTTCTAGGAAAAGTGGAAAAACCTTAAACACCAGACCTTTTAGCTCATCTTGTTTTTATTTACATTATAGAACATATATCTCCAGTATTGTATTATATGGAATATGTATACATAAAAACCCTATTGTGAAATCGATATTACATTTATATGCTTATATATATGTAAAGTTAGTTATTTATGCAATGCTTAGAAGCGCTGAAACAGCTCATCAATGGTGGTTTTTTCCCCTGCTCTGTTGTATAGGTCTATTTGGAAATTTCTATGAAGAGGTGGTGACATCTTGTGGCCATTTGAATCATTCTGCTTGCCTCAAACTTAAGACTCGCGTGAATAACTGAGGTGGGATTTGGCAATGGAGTGGTCCCTTTCATCTGAAAAAAGATACTCCTTTTTGGCTGAATGAGTCCTGCCCTAAACCGTGCTGACAGTACTGGTAAGGGGATTGGGTGCTCTGTGCCGCTGGAGGTGCCCAAGGGTACCACACTGACCTACAGCTGAGGCTCCAGGAGATCATGAGGCTTCTGTAGGTCTTGCATGGCATCTGACACCCAGTAAGATGTCTTGGACACTGATAGATCTGTACGTGTAGGCAACTGAACTGAGCCATTCAACTCCACTGATGATGAGCAGGAAATTAGGGAGGCTAGTTCAGATACTGATAGTTAAATTATAAAAATGTACCAAAACATACCAATCTCATTTCAGGTTTCAGTAGCACTTGAATCCAAGAGGACCCAAAACCACAGAAGATGCTCAGGAAAGCTGCGTTAGTCTCATGGTGCATATAAGGCTTGCTGTACATTACTAAGTTCATTTGAAGCTAATTAATATCCTGTTACTAGGAAAATCTTGGCCTGCATAAGAGATGATGCATGGTGTAGCAAAATCGTTTTAATGAGATGACTTTAAGGATCCTTTAAAGCCAGATAGAAAGATTGCAGAATTTCCGCCTGCCTGAGAACAAATGCAGGTTTTTATTTACCAGCTGTACAGGCTCTCCCTGAAACATTCATCCTGGGGTTTCAGGATCTGGAAATTTATGGCTCTCTAGAGACCCTCTGCAAAGCCTGATGGGTTGATCCCTGCTCAGTCCATCCTGACACCCCACAGACATCACTCTACAGTGAACTGGACCCTTCACATCTGATAAAGAACCACCCACACATACCCTTGGCATTGGAAACATCACCAGCATGAATATAAATTAAGACTAAACCAACCTTACCTGAAACAAATTTAATTTTGAAAGGGTGAAGACCAAGACCTTAGCACAGTGGGGATTTGTTTTATTGTGGTACTTTTCTGGTTCTTAGAAGAGCTTAGGGCTCCCGACTGACTTTACAAATGGCGCTTAAAGGTTTCAAGATGCCCAGGTTTCCTTCCTGTTTATTTTTGTGAGAGTGGAGGAGAAGGGGGAGACACTGATGGGGACGTGAGCTTATCACTTGTACATGTAATGACTCCTACCGCTGCTGTTAGAGATCAGACATGGGTTGGGCCAACCATCTCCCTAAGATCTCAAAGGTTGCAGAGGGCAGCCACTCCAACAGGTCAGGAGGCCAGAGCTGTAGATAACTATACTTCAGGTTTGAGCGCTGGTGTAGTTACTGAGAAAATGCGCTTTGTAAGGATTTCTGTGGCACATGAGACTTGTGCTATTTCTGGCCACATCCAGAACTGCTGATGACCACAGTGCATAGAAACAGTATCTTGTGAAATATCTAACATGTGGCAAGTTCCTGATTAGCGTGGAGATGAGTGCCTTGGGAACTAAGGATCTGGTCTTGATAGAGTTGGGCCCATCTTCAGGTACTGATACCTGTCTTCTCCCGACATCTGTGCAGGCTATGGATATTTAGCCCTCTGTAATGATCTTTATTCAAATCACTGTGCATGAATATTGCAGTCTACCATCAAGAATATATTGAATACTTCAACCTAATTATTATCCAAGGCTGCTGACGCTGATTCATCCTGTCCTGTCCGGGGAGGAAGTAGCCAAGATGCCTAAGGGAGGAATGCATTGCAAGAGGTAATGCGTTACAAGAGATTGCAGGTTTTAGGTCATCTACAGGATGCCTAGCTTACCGTTGCTTTCAGGTTGCAGTCCACAGGCTACTTCTGAAGTGTGACAGTACAATAAGGAAGGCAAATTCAGAGATGTTATACTGCATTTGAAGGAAATGACTTTTCTACTGGGGCATGAAAATTCCTAGGATAAGTCATAAGAAATTAAGGAAAAGGTTGAAAAGCCGATGCCCAGCATGAAAAACTAGAAAGAGGATGAGATGTATCTCTCTGGCATGTCCTCCCAGTTCTTTGAGGTGATGTTTCCTCATAGATGCACTTGTTTTCATGTGAGCCATTTCCTAAGCAGTTTTTTTAACACACTGCAATTTCATTGCAGCCTCTTGAGACTCCTTTTGGGGATCATGACCCTTAGTGTGAGGTGCAAGAAGAGCAATTTCAAACCTAGGTCTTGGCAGAGTTTGTTTTCACAGTGCTGAAGATGAATCCTGGTCTTTCTGGTCACATTTATACCCTGGGATCCCAGAGGACTCTCCAGCCAGCTGATTCCACCCTCTCTCTCCTTCCATATTTTTTCCTATGCTGATTCTTATGGGGAGGGAGCCAGGCAGGCAGAGCAATAAGGCAATAGGTGTGATGTCACCTGGCTCTGAACAGACAGAGATCAGGACCAGGACTGGGAGACATGCTATAGAACATCCTGCCTCACAATCTAGGCACAAGCTCCATTATCTGTCTCCAAAAGAGAGATAATGGCAGTGAACCATCACACAGAGGTTCATAAGGTTACCAGAATTCCAGCCCATGAGGTGCTCTGTTTCTGTGGTCACGAGGACCATTCACATACCTGAGACACAGTATTTTTGGAATTACTCAGGAGCAAATATTTTTCACCAGAATACCTGAACTGGACATAGAAAGCTATTTAGAGATAATCAAGTACGGCCTGCAGAGGAGTTCTGTTGTCTTGTTGCCAATGGGCTAGTGACCTCACTGTAGAAAAACATAGTGCTAAAACAATAATTTGGAAGACAGCCTTCCTCTAGTGATCCGCAGTAAGTAACTTTATGCCTGCTGTTGGCCAAGAGCTACTGTCTCAAGATGTTTAGCGTAGTTCAGTTTAATTTATTAATCTTTTATTGTGACCCAACTAACATAAGGGTAGCTCATCCTATACCTGGGATCTTAGTTCTACTGGTTTGCAAAGGCTCATTTGATAGGTAAAGGATGAGAAATAATATATGGGAATAGAAGGAATAACTGATGATATAATAAAACTACTAGTAGAATTGCAAATTACTGCATGTATATGTCTATATCACTAGGTACCCAGAAAGCTGGGGAACAGAGGCAGTGAAATACATATGGCACTAATACAGACATGTTGGAAAGAAATGATGTCCTGAAGAAGTCCAGCTAGAAAGGATATCTGCTTAGATATGATTAAATTGTTTAAATGCTGGTCTGGCAAACGTGAACTGGCTTGATTCATATTTGTGCTAAAATCTTCCATTTTTCTGGCAGTGCAATGGGGGCTTTAGGTGTCAATAAATTACATTGACAGTGTCTGTGAGGCCCCTTTCAAAAAACCTTAGGATAAAGAAGAATCATGTTTGCCTGTGCTTAACTTCAAAAATGCTGGGAAATCCAACTTTACTCAAGAGGATCTTTTGTTTTCATTGTACTGAACAAGCTCAAGAAAGGCAGCACCGGAGCTTGGTGGAGGACAAGGTTCACTGATCATAATTTCTTTCATTCAGTATAATAAAAGCTAATACCTTCAAACAACCGACTTCATGATTATTATCTTTAATTACTACTGTGTAAAACACAGGAAAACTCCTGCAATGCTGTTGTAACTGTTTCTGTTTCAGAAGCTGACAGAATACAATAATCTGCAACCCATCAGCATGCTGGAAACACATTTTCTTTCCTGGTCTCAGAGTCCACCAGCTCATTACTCATGTGACACTGTGCTGCACTATTTTGACCTGAGTTAAATATGAATGAATGGACTATGTCAACCATATCTGGGGCTGCCTCCAAAGCCGTGTGGCCAGCAGGTCAAGGGAGGGGATTCTGCCCCTCTGCCCCGCTCTGGGGAGACCCCCCTGCAGTGTTGCGTCCAGCTCTGGAGCCCTCGGCACAGGAGAGACATGGACCTGCTGGAGCGGGGCCAGAGGAGGCCACAAAGATGATCAGGGGGCTGGAACAGCTCTGCTGGGAGGACAGGCTGGGAGAGCTGGGGGGGGTTCAGCCTGGAAAAGAGAAGGCTCTGGGAAGACCTTATTGCAGCCTGCCAGTACCTAAAGGGGGTCTACAAGAAAGTTGGAGAGGGACTTTTTGCAAGGGCCTGCAGCAATAGGACAAGATGGTAAATTCAGATTAGATATAAAGAAGAATGCTTCACTATGAGGGTGGTGAGGCACTAGAACAGGTTGTCCAGAGAAGTTGTGGTTGCCCCATCCCTGGAAATCTTCAAGGCCAGGTTGGATGGGGCTTTGAGCAACCTGACTAGTTGAAGGTGTCTCTGCCTGTGGCAAGGGTGGATTGGAACTAGGTGATCTTTAAGGTCCCTACCAACCCAAAATATTCTATGATTCTATGACTACCTGCAGGACCGAAATGTTTCAGCCCACATCGCCAGTGTCTGAAGTCCTTTTCCATTTTCTCACAGAAAAGCCCCACCAGTGTCAATGGGATTTTTCCCATACATTAAGTTAGACAGACAAGTATCTCTATTGTTCAGTATCTGTATTGTGGTCCTCAGGAGCTCAGATATGGAACAAAGCCTTGTTGTGCCAGGTACTGCATGAAGGATAGTAGCATTTCTTATCCCAACAAGAGATATGGAGGTCTCAATGCATATAAGGACCTCCTGGTCCTACCTGATTGCATGCTTACAACCGTTGACATGGAACAGGCTGCCTGGAGACACCTCCCAGGCATTCTTGCTTCCCTTTTTTTTGAAGCATTTTTGGGTACTGTACCTGGTACCTGCCATTTCTCATCTTGGAGCTTGAAGGAAATCCATCACTTTCTAGGTCAATCAGATTTTCCACTTCCTAGAGGAGAAAGAGGAAGAAATGAAGAGGTGTTGTTTCTGCCTTACTGTTTATCGCTTGATTCATTATTGATTAGAACTCTAACAGAGTTCCAAAGGGAATTTAGTTCCCCGTGGTGCAAATGGGGAGCAAAGATGCAAAACATTTAAGACCAAAATGCTGCATCTTCACACATTCGGTTTCCATCTGTGGCCAACTAGCTTTATACACTCGTCTAAGACCATGGCCTTTTCTATCTTTTTGCAACCTTTTCTTCTGAAACAAGGAGTAATATTTAACACATTGAACTGCTCATAAAGAGCAAGAGGCAGATTATCATCAGGATGGGTCCAGCCATGGTAACTACAGCATTTCAGATACTGATCTCACATACATCAGCAAGTTCAGAGAATTTCTGCTCAAACCAATACAAGTTGTCTCTGGCTTTCTACTAATATACCTGACAACTGAATTTATCCCATTGACAGCAAAGGAACATCAGGTCTTTTCCAAGAGCAAAGCTGCACTGATTCAATTAGAAGTGTGATTCTTACACCACAGCAATACTCTTAATTAAAGTTTGTTAGAAGTTTATGGCAAGGAAGAAGTTTAAATTCATGAGTTTCTCTCCAACTTATATGATAGCATACATGCAAAGGTTTGCACAAAATTAACTGAAATTGTTTAAGCACATTGACGTTAAACTGATATTGCATCTATGTTTAGAAAGGAGCACAGGTCTGGAATATTTTTTCTGGGAATTACAAACTCAGGATAAAAATCTCACTGTGTCATGAAAAGTGCTGTAAGAAGATACAAAAAGAGGATATCCCTGCTCACTAACTCTTTTTGTTAATCTTGCGAAGGAAAAGAAAGCTTCACACGGTTCCTGCTG